TCTGCTGCTTGGAAATCAGTGAAGTTACCACGCCGACCTCAGCACTACTTTCATTAACATCTAGGATCCCCCTGGAGCATGTGAAGGGGAAGGAACCAGAACTATACAAGCAGACATCACCTGAAGTGCTTTGTGCTGTACTGCTGAGGGAAACATTGTAGTTGGAGGCACGAATGGATGACCAGGCACTAGTTGAAGGCAGCGTGGTGTTCAAAGATGAGGATGACCCTGCAACAAAGACAAGAGTCAGACACAGCACAGCTTGTCCCAAGTGCAGGAGGATGAACAGGCTTGCCCTGTGCACACTCAGGGCAGGGATGTGCACCCTGGGTCCCCATCTCACCCACGGGCACGTGGTGGCAGCAGGAGCACAGCCCTGCATTCCTGCACGGCGGGGCTGCCAAGGCTCTGCTGCTCCCAAAGCCCTGGGCGTGCACAGCTGACACCAGCAGCACAGCCCACACCCCTGGGACAGCTCCTGCACTGCAGCAGCAGCAGGGCTGGGCCAGGAAGGGCTTCAGCCCTGGCAGGCACAGCACGAGGGACCAGGAGAGGAGCTCGCAGCAAACACACCCCAAACTCACAGCAAACACATCCCAAACTCACAGCAAACACACCCCAAACTCACAGCAAACACATCCCAAACTCACAGCAAACACACCCCAAACTCACAGCAAACACATCCCAAACTCACAGCAAACACATCCCAAACCTGCAGCAAACACATCCCAAACCCGCAGCACAAGGGGAACCATGAGGGCAGCAAGGAGCAAACACAGGGAACAACCAGGAGAGGATCAAGGAGGGAACACAAGGGATAAACCAGGAGAAGAGCAAGGAGCAAACACAAGGGATAAACCAGAGAGGAACAGGGAGACAACACAAGAGATAAACCAGAGAGGAGCAAGCAGTAAACACCACAAGAGCAGAGGGAAGGTCACACACAAGCCCCAGCAGGCTGGGCATACCACTGTTCCTGTCCCTGAGGTGGTCAACTTCCCGCACAGTATTAATTGA